ACTGTACTATTCAGTTGTGGCCACAAATCCAGGTATTTGCCATCTGGAAAACCTTTTGCTTTCAGGACAATACTTTATGCAATACAAAATTCAATATACCAATGATGTAGTGGACCCAGATTTCCCAGACTGAACACTCCAAAGCCTTTTGTTGGAGTCAGCCATTCCTCTGAAATTTACCTGTTTCACCGGCACAAAAGATTCCGCATGCCTTTTCTTGGGTAATAAACTGGCCACAACTTTATTTATCTGTACAGGGTCTTAAAACAGTTTTCATTTACAAGATCTCATTAACCATAATTTCGTTCTTGACACATGTGTCCATGCACATAAAGGGAGAAGGTATCAGGGTAAGCCACGCCCAGCACAACATATGTCAAGAACGTCCTGTTCAAATTAGTTACACAATTTCAACAAATCACCCCCCATACACTGGAAATGACATCATAATTAAACATATGACATAAGTAAGTTATGATATCATCAACATGGTTTATGACGTCATAGAGAATTTAGTTAACCCAATGACGTATACCCTTCATCCACATTAATTAATTCAATTTGGTAAGTCTAATTAACCAAATTATCCCTGGGGGGGTGCTGCCCACCACAACTTACAAAAGACAGTTAATGAAAATTAACCAACCAAGACCCAGGTCCACAAGTTGTGACAATAAGCATTAATTTGTAACACCACATGAGTAAATCACTACAACAATGGCGAAATCAACTATGTCATTATGCCAACCCATACTATTATTATTATTATTATTATTATTATTAATTATTAAGCTCAGAGAGGGTGAAAAACCCAGGTTACAATAACTCTGGGAAAAATTCCCTCCCAGCCCCGAAAGCGACCAGCCAAAGTCTGAGAGTAAATAACAAACAACTGCTAATTGAGGGTGGGTGGGTTGGATCACTTGACTGCTCTGAGAAAATGGCTGCCGCCATGTGGCAGCCGAAGGCTATATAGCCCCCAAATCTCCCTGGTAATCTAGTGAGATCCAGCGTACTTCCTGCCTGCCCAGCCAATCACAGTGTCGGCATCTTCAATTGGCTGGCGCAAAAGAGACCCCCTCCCTAGGCGTTGGGGGGGGGGTTCTTTGTCTCTGAGGATGCTTTCACCCTCTTCACAGTTTTACACAATTACACAGTTATAGCACTATGATTCTGCTTTAATTGCATGGCCATATCCTATGGAATCTTGAATTTGTACTTTGGTGAAGCACTAGAATTTCTTTCTTGCTAAGAATTCTAAATGCCCTTCTAAATGGAAACATCTAATGGAAACCCAGTATTCTATAGGATGTTGCCAGGACAATTAAGTGGCATCATAGTGCTATAATTTTGTAGTGTGAAAGGACCCTGAGTATTCTCATGGTGGCTTGTGGGTGCAACAGGATGGACTTTCTCAGACATAAGATGTTATTTGAGCAACTTTTTTTGTAAATAAAATATTTTGGAATAGCTTAGTCTTGAGCAGACAATAAGAACAATTTCCTGTTCTAAACAACTGCTCTTGGTGAAAATGAAAACTACTAGAACTGGCTTGCTAGCTCTGAGATATATTGTTTCTCCTTGGTCCCTGGAAAAGACTGCTATGATGAATGTCTATGCTGCTACACCAAAGCAATACTGTATATCGTTTATGAAAAAATACAATCTGCCCCCCTCCCCTGTTAGTTCTTCTTGATATTCTTTATGTACTTTGTACTATGAATTTGAGAAAATGCTTTAGAAGCTAGGTGTTCTCGCAGTGTATCACAGAAATGTTGGTGTGAGGATTAAGCCATTCAATACAGGTAGTTGCATTCAAGAGTGAGGCTGCTTCCTCCTTCCACCATGAAGGATTTAATCTTTTTGTGAACCTGGTCTGTTTCTTTTTTTTCATTATTCCTTATTTTGAACATGTCAGTTTGGGGTGGATTTCCACTCCTTCCTCTCTGGGTTTCTGGTGTTCTCATTTCCCTTAAAATGAACAGAGATGCAAAGGCTGTCAGTCTTATGCAGTGATTTGTGTACTAGACAAGTAGGGCCTGCAACAAATGCTGCAGCATAGAGCAGTGGCAGCTGGTAACTTCCATGTCAGTGGGGTAGTAAATCCTCTCTGGTCTTTAGTTTTTATTTTGAAGATGCCATCTAAGGCACTTAGTGTATTTTGATGAAAGCTCAATTCCACTTTGAATAGCTGAATTAAAGTTTGCACTAAAATCTGGATCAGATTTCACTGGCAAGAAAGCAACCAGCTGCCATTGTCATGGAATGGTCTCTGTCAGGATTCCAGTAAGTCATCCATATATTCTTCCAAGATGCTCCATACCATTCATTCCACATTCTTCCTGGTTTTCTAATCTCCTCCTCCATCAATAAGACAGCACTCCAAACTCACACTCAACTTTCACTGGACTGTTTTGCTTTTCCCCCTACTCCAAAGGTTTTCAACATTGCTAAAAACCTTGTCTCATGTCTGCTAATACCTTCCTGTTGTGCAGCTTGAGCAGCCCATGAACCAAGTCAAGGGCATGGAGTCCTATTCTACAGTAGTTTGGCCCAAGTGCTACGGGTGTGAATGGATGGTGCTGGCTCTTAGAGAAGGTTTTTGCAGGACTAGGGAATCAGCTCTAGATTACAGATAATTAATTAGCATGCTAGGAGCTATATCACACCCAGTCTCATGGATGATAAATGAGAAATAAACTGAACTCTTTGGGTTTACATGTTACCAAAGCAAACACCCCTTTATTTATTCATTTCAAAGATATGCTTGCTTCAATTGACAATACTGCGCTAACTTTGATGAAGTATAAAGAGGACAGAAAAAAATCACAATCATGTGAAGTCGTAGGCTTTCATGGTTGGCATCCATAGTTTTTTGTGGGGTTTTTGGGTTGTGTGGCCATGTTCTAGAAGAGTTTCTTTCTGACGTTTTGCCAGCATCTGTGGCTGGCATCTTCAGAGAAATAACACACACTCTCAGCTGGCTCCCCCCAATAAATCTTACCAAAAAAAAAAAAGAAAGAAAGAAAGAAAGAAAGAAAGAAAGAAAGAAAGAAAGAAAGAAAGAAAGAAAAGATAAGATAGGTTTTCTTCACATGCTGGCAAAATGTCAGAAAGAAACTCTTCTAGAACATGGCCACACAGCCCGAAAAACCCACAAAAAACTAATCACAATCATATTTGAAACATAGTGCTTCCACATGTACCCTCACATCTTAATTTTGTATGAAAAAGCAGAACTGATTAACATTCTTGCAACTGCAGTTGTAATCCAGCTCACCTGGAAAAGATCCAGTTAGAAAAGGCTGTATTACTGATATGGAACCTGTAAGGGCTATTTTGCAACTGAAATATAAAGCAAATATTTTACCTGAATATGAAACAAATTTTTCTAATGTAAGAAAGTTTTCTGTCTTCTTGTCATTAAAACACAGTTACAGTTAAGATCAAATCCTTTCACGGTACACAAAAAATTAGCTTTTCTCCATTTGAATCTGTTCACCTATTTCACCTTCAAGATGTCATAACAGTTTCCTCTCATTTTAACAAAGCATGAAATTATGCCTGAATAAAGTAAATTATCCTTAGGAACACTGGGGACAGATGTTGCATTTCCTAGTGTCATTGGTTTAAATATATCAATTTATATTTTCTGTTATATTCCATATAAAAATCTACATAACACATAATGAAGCAATAGATGGGAGACCTTTACAATAATTCTTTTTTTTTCTTGATTTGCTAGACAGCTTTATAGTAGCTCACAATGAGAAAGATGCTTGCTGAATGCAGAAAAGAGCAAAATTAAAATTTGACTCTCCTTGAATAAGTCCCACTTATTCAGAATAGTGAAGCTCTGAACAAACTCCCCCAAACACATACATACTCTCATGACATCAATATAGATTTAAACAATCGAATAATAGAATTCTATTATTCGATTGTTTAAATCTATATTGAATGTCATGAGTATATGTCCAGAGAGAGCTCTCATGTTGACTCAAGCTCTATATATCCAACAAATTGGAAGCTAAGAGTAATGTCATAATAGATGTTTCCCATGTGGAAATTTGTGCTATTTCACAAATTGGGCTTACAACACCAACACTATGCTTTGGTCTTTCAGACCAAAACCATATGGAAAGGATGGAGCATCTGGGACTGATAATGATACCCCATGTTATTCTAGTCCTGTATTGCCTTGTGAAACATTTGAGCCTTGTGCTGCCTGGATGCCCCCCATTACCTGGGACCCTCCATTGTAACAAGGGGCCATTGTTCACATACACATCCTGATGGCTGGATGCTGGTTTGCTTTTCTTTGCCTAATGTAAGAGACTGAATATGCTTTTGTTTAATACTATCAGGGAAGCAAGGGCACAACAATTCAAGTCCAATTTAAACTGCTGAGGAAAGAGAGAATTGGATTGTTTTCCCCCTCTGATTCATTCTTCCTTTATGAAGCTTGGAAGTGCTATTGGTGTCTCCTACATAAAAGAATAATAGATAAAAGCCATACATAATGAACCAATTATCAGCTTGATCTAAAAGTGTAACAATTTTATTTAAATGCTTTGCTGGGTAATAGTGATGTCACCAACATATACTTTCTTTAAACCCACTTACCAATATTGTTTAAATACATTTCAAGAGAAAGGCACAGAATAGCACCACCATTTTGACAGATGGTGGCTGGAATCTCCTGCATCAGGAGATGGATTTGTAGCATGTATCTAGTCACCATGGCTACATCTCCTGGTTCTACTCTCCAATTCATATTTTAAGTGATGCACCTCTCCAACATGGTCATTTCTGTGTTGTTGGAGAATGGAGTGGATTGAGGTTGTTCCACTGACATGTTTCTGTGTGCCTTCAACTTGTTTCTGACTTATGATGACTAAGGAAAACCTATCGTTTTTTTTGGTAAGATTTATTGGGGGGGTGTCCACTTGCCTTCCTCTGTGGCTGAGAGTGTGTGATATACCAAAGGTGGGTTTCCATGGCCAAGTGGGGATTTGAACTCCAGTCTCCAGAGTTGTAGTCCAACACTCAGACCACTACATCATGCTGCCTCACTTAAGCAGACCCTAGATCCTCCTATTTTCTTGTGGGATACATGCTGCAACAAACATCTGCAGATACTACCCCCAGGGTCCTTGCAGTCCAACTACAGGAAAATAGCTTGACGCATCTCTGCTGATCCCCCCCTCTCTCTCTTCAATGACATCAAAATAGTGTGAGTGCATCACTTAAAAGGTGGGTTGAGGGGATTTTACTTGTTGTACAACTGGAAAAATATTCTAACTCCCACAATAACCAAAAATGTGGGTTGCCTATAGTGTAAGCTGGACTTACGCTGTTGTAACTCACTAACAGGATGCCAGCCAGTATTTCATTTAAGACAATTCTATGTTGAATGAGCAAAGGGATAGACAGTAGAAAATATCATCAAAAAAGAGCATGTTGAAGCATCTGTTATGTTAAACCTTTGCATGTCTACAATGATCTAAGTCTGATTTATATGTTACTGGAAAGAGTCTGGAATTTATTTTCTGTAGGCATATAAGAACAAACTAGCATTTACTTCATTTTGCTAAAGCAAACAATGGACATGATTTTGCCATCCCTATACCTCTTCTCACTAAAACAAAACAAAACAGTTAAGGAAAAAGAAAAGCCTACCTTTGTAATAATTCCTTAATATTCACATAGCTCTCCATTTCCTATTTCAAATAAGGTTATGGAAATCCTGTTAGAACTATGGTCAGCCAAATCAAACATTCTTTCCTATATCTAAATACCATATAATGCTAGTAGAGTGAAAATTTGGCTAGCACAGTTGTGCTCAATTACAGTGTTAAAAAAGCAGTTGTCAAAGGCAATTTCCCAAGAGACTGTGCTACTAGTTGTAGGAGTGGTGGTAAACTCACTGCACAACTTGTTTTTCAAGTGATAGTCCAAATGCTTACAAAACTGCAGAAACACTTTTGGATACTATATTTCTGCTGATTCTGAAAATGTTCAAGTGCTTGTGCAAGAGTCTTGTGCTAGTACAATGGCATTGCTGGATATAGAACCATGTGTTGCCATGTGGAAAAGAATAATATATATTTGCACTTATTTCTCCTTTAAACATGTGGAAACTAGAACAGTGTAGAAGTACAGGCCTAAGTGGCAAAGTGGCAGTCCCAAGCAGCAACAATGCTAGCAGATCTTAATCGACAGATTATTTTCATGGCAGAACTCGATGAGCTGGCAAAAGAGGGTTCTCCTGGTAGAAGTACAGTTCTGCTAGTAGTAGGCTCTGGGTTTTTTTTTTCTGGAAGAAAATATTTATGCCTAATCCTAACCCTCTACAGCCAATATATTTTTGAGTTCAGATTGTACTGCTAGACCACTGAAAAATAGTTCTCAGGTGCCTACAATAGCAACTCAGTTCTCAGATCAAATTGTTATTATAAGAATTGGTCAAGAGAAATATGTGGGGTACAGATAGTTAATAATTTGCATCAACTTCCCACTTACTCTCTCTCTCTCTCAAAAACATATGAATGAAGCATAGTCTTATACTCTCCTCCTGAAATAATGGCATGCTGCAGCTGGAAAAAAAATGCAATAAATTGATGCTTTATTGAATACTAGAGAAAAAAAAAAACATGTGTAAGAAGGGGGGGGGGAAGAGAGGGAGAGCAAACAGATATCTGTCTCCTAATTCAATATTCCTTTTGAATCAGCCCCATTTAAAACCAGCCATCCATGTATGGGTCAAAATAAAAAAAAATAATACAAAGTTTCCCACCAACAGTTCAAAGAATCGCTATAGATAAATAATGTGGATACTTCAAAAACAAGTCCAAAGGTTCAGTGCAATTTTCTCAAAATAAAAACAAAAACAAAAAAGAACCCTTACATCTTTCCTTTTAAAAATGAAGATCAGATCATAGCCTTCTTATGACTGCTTCATAGTAGATTTTCAAAAGGAAAATGGCACTGAGGTAGAAAACCTGCTTTGAAAGATGGAAGAAGCTACAATGATAGTTAAGTACTACTTTGGCTTCTGAAGGTCTTTGTGTTTCACAGAAGTTCTCAATAGTTTTTCTTGAACCAAAATACTTCTATCTCTTGAACAGGAATTGCTGTCAAGGTTCTTACAAAGATTTTCATTAAAAGTCAAACATATACACACAGAGAAAAGTCATTTTCATAGAGGAAAATACAGCTGGTTAAGAGAAGTTAATAATATCATTATAGAAGGGAATAAAATCCTTTCAATTTGCAAATTTGACCTGTTCATGTTAAATATGAGCTGAGAATCTAAAAACATGAAATAGAGTGGAGCACAAGTGACAACTGGCATTGATTCAATGTAGTTTAGAGCCCATAGCCTAGTCTTGGCCTTAACCAGAGTAGACGTATTGAATTAATTGGATTTTACCTGCACATGAACTCATCATTCAAAAATCGGTTCAATGAGTTTAGTGGAAAACATATTCAGATACTGGTGACCAATAACTGAGCAGCATAAACAATTCAAGCTATCCATGTTTTATTTAAATGTTTGTTTTTGTTCTTGTTGTTGTGTGCCTTCAAGTCATTTCCAACTTTTGGTGAACCTCTCATGGGGTTTTCTTGGCAACAGTTGTTCAGACGGGGGTTGCTCTTGTCTCCCTCTGATATTGAGAGAGTCACCTAGTGGGTGCCCAATGTCACCCAGAAAGTTTCAGTGGCCAAACCAATGATTTGAACCCTAGTCCAACACTCAAATGATTTGAACCCTAGTCCAACACCCTTTGTTTCTGAACAGTGGTCCATCCATTCCATTACAGACAGAGCTTGGAAAAGTTACTATTTTAAGCTACAGTGCCCACAGTCCCCCAGTAACCATAGTCAGGTTGCTGTTTCCAAGCTCTGATGACAGAATATGCTTTAGAAGTATGCCTCTTGTCACTCATTGATATTTTAGATGTGTGAGGAGATTACAGGTTTTTCCCCCATTGTGGTGCCTGATTGTAGAATATCCTCCCCTTGGAGACCTAATTGATGGCAATGTTGGCTTCATTTCAGCACCAGGTTAAAAAATAGCTTTTTATTAAGGTGAAGGGGATTTTCCTTTCTCCATAACACTATGAGAAATTAAAAGACCTGGCTTGGTGAATCAAGGATCCAATTTTATTTAGGGAAAGAAATATATTTCTGTTTCCACTGTGACTGACCAAAATCTGAAGAGAATGGGTACCCAGAGCCACTCTCATACAATTTGTTAGGATTGCCAAAGTGTGACTGTAAAACATATGTGCAGGGAAAATTCCATGTGCCATGCAACCTTCACAGTGCCACTTGTTCTTCTGGAGGATGACCAAGGTAATACAAAAGCATTTTGCTGGATTAGCCTATGCAAAGCTATGTTAGGGGGGTTGCAGACTGCCAGAAATAGTGTAAATTGAGTCCACTTTTAGGGTTAGGGTTAGTGCTAGGGAATCATGGGAATTGTTTTTTTTTTCCCTGAGACATGGAGCCTTCTCTGTCAGAGAGCTCTGGTGCCACAATAAAATACAGTTCCCATGATTCCCTAACCCTAAAGGTGGACTCTATTTGCACTATTTCTGGCAGTCTCCAACCCCCCTTAGTTTCTCCTTCAAAAGTCTTGGGATCTGATGGTTTTATGTAGTTTTATTTTACCCAGTTTATGCCAAAAAAAAAAAAATCTACATGGTTTTAAACTGTTGTAACTTGTTTTATTATATTGTTTAATGTGTTTTAGACTGTTTAACTTGCTCCTTATGCTTTGAACTGCTTAAATTGTTTTTGTTGTATGTTCCCTAGAAATCTTTTGATATGGGGCAGAATATAAACATTTTAATTAATAAATAATAATTTGAAATGGATCTTGCCCAGAATGTTACTTTAATGGTCTGACAAAAAACTGATAGGATTAAGATATGATGTTATTGATTTCACATAGCACTCTCCTCGAAAAATCTTATTTTCAAGCAGTTCCACCAAATATAAAACAGCTATGTAATAACTACATCTCCATCTCCTGAATATTTTTATGAGTTTTATTTAGTTTATGTAGACTTAAATGTACAAACAGCAATATATTTTATAGCAATTTTATAGCAAGATCACTGTGTTACATTAACACATGGGGATGCAGCTGTTCCATTTATAGAGAGTTTAATCCACATCAGCTCTGAAATGGAAAATCTCTATGAAGATTTCAGTTTATTACCAGAAGCATCTTTTAAGTTCGAGGTGACATATTTTGAGGGAAGAGACAATGGATTCTTCTACGATTGGTTATCAAAATTTAAAAATTGGAGAACCAGTGAGAGTATAGTGCATAGGTTGTTGATCTGGTACTTGGGAGCTGAGACTACAGAGTTTCAGGTTGAAGCCTTATTTATGAACCTTGCTGGGGGACCTTAGCCAATTATTCTCTCTCAGCTTGACCTACCTCACAGGATTATTGTTGTGGGAAAGAGGAGAGCCAGATGCACTGCCTTGAGTTTATTAGAGGTGGCAAAATATAACTATAGAATACTGCTGATACTATTACTAGTTCTACCACCAGAATAATAGAACATTAGAGTTAGGAGGAATTGCAAGGATCACCTATTCCAATCTCCGTCCATGAAGGAATGCACTACTAAAGCACCCCTGAAAGATGTCCATCCACATCTGTTTAAAAACTTCCAAAGATGGAGAGTCCACTACCCTCTGAGGTAGTCTATTCCACTGTCAGAATATTCTCACAGTAAAAAAAGCTATTTCTAATGTTTAAAGTATGATTTTTCTTGGCAATCCTTTGAGGGGAAGTGCCAAAGAACTGCTACAGCCACCATTTTCCCAGCCAGGTATTCAGGTCAGGTCAGGTCAGGTCAGAAGTTGGGCTGTGGCAGAGAGAGTAGAGAGGTTGGTGCTTCTTTTAGATCAGGGGTAGGCAACCTAAGGCCCGGGGGCCGGAT